CATATGATTTTATGATTATTTGCATATTTGTGTAACAAAACTTTACACCAATGATTTATAAATTACGTTATGATTATTTGAATTTAAGTATTTTCCATTTTACATATACACTTCCATAAATTAAAAGGAATGAAGTTATTATAGTTAATATATGCAAATCGTTATCAAATCGTATATTTTCTTTTTCTTCCATTACATGTATGCGATATATATAAATATATAAACTATGTTACATGCGTTATATGCGTCTCTAATTATTTTTCCCTAGTAAATTTCAATTGAACCTAAAGCCGCCACGTCAGTTTAATTGATATGTTAATTGATTGACAACTAAGCAAGGTTACTTTTTAATTAATACAAACTTGAGATTACATCTTTTCAAATGTTTCTCAATTAATATATAGGGGATATTTCATGTATTATAGATTGCACATATTTACATCATTAGCATGAAAAAGAGAATAATTACACATGGAAACCAAAAAAGTGACAAATCTATGGTGGTGAAAGACCATTTATTACAAACAAAATCAAAGTTTTTGTCTAATCAATAAATTTGATAAGTCTAATCCTATGTGGCATTGAATCACACCCAATTATATCATCAATTCATATTATTTAGCTTCTGACCAATCAAACTATAACGTTTTCGTTAAATTGTGATCTCAATTAATAGTATGATTATGTCAACTTACCAACAAATATCAGTATCCAAACATAAAGTATACTGTCTTTCAAAAGCATAATCTCAATTATTTAGATAAAGCCCTAGTAATAATAAATTTGGTTTATATAAAGTAATCTAAATATCCAGTGACAAAACAAAAAAAATCTAAATATCATTAAGATATATAATTTTTCGTTTCCTTATATTTACCATCCTTTTTTTTTTTTACTTAAAATCATCAAAAGTACGAGAATAACTAGATAAATTCAATATCACTGATCTAATTTAAATTTACAACTTTTGACTGAGTAATAAATTTACTGAATTGGCTTATTTTATATATTTCCTTTAAAAAATTGTTTTAGTTTCTTCCAAATTAACTATGCGTTTCATGGATGATGATAATGCACTAAAACAGCTCTTTTGAGGTAATATATAAATATAAACATATAAGTTCCTTAAAATTATACGGTGTACACGCAATATGAAGAGTTTATATTTTTGGTTATTGTTTAAGGCATCTCCAACCAATTCCCTCATTTTTTATGAGGTCCACCCTTAAGATAAGTGCATAAGTGGATAATTCTCCAATGGTGTCCCTTCAAATATTTTCTCTTACTTTACAGTTTATTCCTTAATTTTATTAATAATTAATTATAATCATTAAACTTTAATAATTAACCAATAAATACATACTAATGTATGATATTAGCAAAATTAGTAAACACATTTAGTAATAACACCAGATTATTTATAAAATAACATATAATAATAAAATACATACAATTCAAATTACAAAATATATATAAATTACAAAACTAATCAATACGATTATTTCCGTAATGTTTCCATATATGTTCAATCAATGCATTTTTAAGTGATAAATGAGACTGCTCCAAACTTGTATCGATCATGGTGATTTTTAAGGTTCGAGACCAAATTTACCTGAATTTTATATAAATTGTATGTTATATTTCAGTTTATGTGTAATATTTCAGTTTATTTTAATGTGTAATATATCAGTATATTATTTAATGTGTAATATTTCATGTTTATTATTTTAATGTGTAATATCTTATCTTATTTTAATGTGTAATATTTTAGTTTATTTTAAAGTGTAATATTTTAGCTTATTATTGTTATTTAAAGTTGACTTTATAAAATTAAAATTATAATATTCAAGTGTTAATATATTTATGATACTAAAATGCAGCATAACAAACAATAAGTACACAATCATTTAAACATACATAAATAGGAGGGTTAAAATGAAAAGTAAATAGTATTTTAAAGGGGTGAACAATGCATCCTCAAATTTGATGGTGCACTGTTCACCCCCTTAAGATTTGAGGGAATAAGAGACCATTGGAATGCAAAACCCTTAAAAAGAAATGAGGGGATAAGGGCATCCACATCAATGAACCCCTTCTTGGGGTTCATTGAATCATTTCTTTATTATTAAAAAAATTTTGTTTTCTTTTTGAATTTTTTTTTGAAAAAAAAAACAAAAAAAAAATCTAGACCAATCCCGGGCCGCCACGTGTTGAACCTCAGGAGAGAGGGGTTCACCGCAGTGAACTTTAGGAGAGAGGGGTTTATAGGTTTTTATTATTTTATTATTTTTTTTTCTTGATTTCCGTGTGAACTCCCCCCCCATGAACCTTCAATGGGGGTGCTCTAAGAGGCATTGGAGATGCTCTTAAGAGAAAAAAAAACATTTATATTCTGAAAATGAAGGAGTCCATGAAGCATTCATGTGAATGTGCCAAAGAAGCCCAAATAGCTAAAGACATCATCGTCTGAAAGAAACTAAAACTTCGTCAAAGCTCAAACAACTTAACATATAAGGGAAAAGCTATAAGCTAAATGTATGTTCATGTTGCTCTGAACTGATCTCCAGCAAGATTAGTTTAGGATTTCACCATCGATTTCCAAACATGTTTGTTTCTACCCTATTTCAACATGTTGGAAAGCAGAGGATCAGTCTCAATAGTATTAAAGTTATTTGGTTGGTATTGTCAGGCACCAACAAGCTAATCATGAGGAGATCAAATCAAGATTTTCTTAAAAAAAAAAAATAAAGATTACAAAGAATCTGAGGATAATGTAAAGAAATCACTAGTAAATTGTACAAGACTAAAATTGAGAGTATGAAAAGAGTTTTGAAGAAAAGAGAAATTCCAGCAAAACTTCCCAAAAAACAACATGGGAACAACATTGGAACATGAAGTCAGTATTTAAAAAGCAGACAAGGTTATATACTTTCACAGAGAGATATATGCTGAAAACCAGAGACACCACCACTTACTCTCTTCAATAAACTGTACCATCCTCTGTTCCACAAATGATCTAACGACTATAGAGACTGATAAGCACAAACACTTATCAGCCACTTTCTCTTAAGCAGTTCCCAGGTAACAAATACTTGTAACTCTCAGCCTTTTCAATCAAATGAGCAGGGAGATGAACAGCTGAATAAGACCTCGGTATCGGACCTAGCTTCGCGATGATCTCCCTGAACGTATACTCTTCAGGAAACATGTCGAACAGATCAGTTCCTCTACATATCACATCTTGGATTCTTGCCGGATTCAAATAATGAGAGAACCTAACACGATCGGTATGACTATACGCTTTCATCTTGAACACAAACTCACTAATGCGCCTGAAACAGAAACTGCAATGCCAACCAGAGTCCGCTAAGAGAACGTCTCCTTGTCGGAAATGAGCATATCTTGTCTTCTCTGGCTTGTACCGATGAACCGAAGCTCTCCAGCTTTTACTATCGATGAAATACTCAAAAGAGTATAAGTAGTCTCTAAGCTGAAGATGAAGAACCGGTGGATAACCATCACACCATCTAAGAAGGTTAATGGTGTGAGCACTAGGAATCTCATCAACATCAGACATGATCAAAAGATCGTCTTCTTCAATCCCCGCGAGTCTAATGAGCTGATCCAACGCAATCCTCTGGTAAGCTTCTTCCACAAAAGGGTTCTCACCTCTCTTGAATCTACCTCCAATGTTACCATACGTCAACCTCGGCTCCACAAACTCGAAGTTCTTTCGGTTTGCGGCGAAAACCAACGGTTTAGGCAAACTAGTGAAGGTTGAGTTAGATTCAAGAATCACAAACTGTGTGATGTAAGGGTAAAGCTCTTTCCAGCGGATAGTGAGCATATCTACTTCGTTGCTGAACAAGACGGCGTCAAAGACACGTCTTGGAGTGTCTCGGTGTTTCCATCCGTGGAGGCTGCAGAGTGTTTCCATGGAGGTGTTTTCATGGTAGTAATGGGGGAGTATTTGAAATGGTTTAGGTGGTGATTGCCAAAGAGGTCTCAAGAAGTATGTGAGCTTTTGGCCGTGGATATAGATACCGAAGATGAAGATAGGGATGATGGTGAAGAGGATGATGTATGTCTTGAAATCGAGTCCTCGTAGTATACATCTAACTCTTGAAAAGGCTTTCCCTGCTCGAGAACCTTCCTGCAAAAAAAAAAATCAGATTTTTTTTTTCACGCAAAATCAGAGAAATTACAATTAAGAATCAAAATAACAAACAAAGCACAATCCTTTTGTCGATGCACAAAGAATCAAACCCTAAAACAGATTATCAATATGTTTGGTAATTATCACAACACAAAACCTAAGGAGAAAAAAAAAAAAAGGACTTTACTTTTGTTTGACATTCGTTTCCAATTCTCGATGAGTTTCAGACAAAACATAAACAATCGTTCAGACAATTATAAAAGATTATGTAATGAATAAACAGAATCGGAAAAATTCGCATTGCCACCAATTAGAATCCGGATTTCGTTAATGGAAAATCAAATCAAAATTAGAGCAAGAGTTGCAGAAAACACAAACAGAGATTAGGACTCAGAAACACTCTCTAACCTGTCCACAAACATCATCGCAGATATCGTCGGTCTTCTTAGAATTATAGTATCCATCGGACATGATATTATCACCCACAATGGAGTTTTATCACCCAAAGAAGAAGATTATCGAACCCCGAGAGAATCGAAGCCCGACACAATCAAAAATTTTCTCTTGAGACTCAAAAAAAACAATATATAAAAGAATTAAAAACCAACAAAAGTAATTAGGAGAAGGAAGACGAGAATTTAAAAAGAAAAACAGATATCCGAATAAACGCTGTCGTCTTTGCCGTCCGATACTTTTTTTTTAGTTTTCGGTTTACATAGGGCCAAACCTGCTGTGGTTTTTTATTTTATATGGACACTATCCATTAATGTGGGAATATTTTATTAGCTTTAAAAGAATATACGAATAAATTCATCCCTTTGATGTTACTATAAGCGGGCTTTTGATATTAATCCCACGGTCGCAATCGTTTCTACCCTTCTGATCTGTCATTTAATTATTATGATATTTGCCAACTCATATAATTTGACTTATACATAAACTTTTCAAACATGTCAACAAATATTTTTCTTTAGGAAAAATAGTTTTTATGATTGACCTAAAATCAGTAGGGAATTTTCTGTTTACAAATTTGATTAAGCGATACATTTTTCTTAGGAAAATTAGTTTTTCTGATTGACCTAAAATCAGTAGGAAATTTTCTATTTACAAATTTGATTAAGCCATTTTAGATATTGGCTTAATTATAATTTGGAGGCAAATGAAATGATTTTGATTGTTATATAGGAAAATAATTTCATTCCTATCAAATGTACTTTTTCGATATATTTAACTGTCGTTGTCAAAATATATATATATATATATATATATATATATATATATATATATTTAACTGTACCTAAAATCAGTTGGGAAATTTCTGTTTACAAATTTGATTAAGCCATATTTTTCTTATGAAAATTAGTTTTTCTGATTGACCTAAAATCAGTAGAAGATTTTCTATTTACAAATTTGATTAAGCCATTTTAGATATTGGCTTAATTATAATTTGGTGGCAAATGAAATGATTTTGATGGTTATTTAGGTGAATAATTCCATTCCTATCAAATGTACTTTTTAGATATATTTAACTGTCGTTGTAAAAAAAAAAGATATATTTAACTGTTTTTTACACGTATTTTAAATTGTGATTATTATTTATTTAAATCTAAATAAATCTGTGTATACAATGTTTAATCAATTCATTGATAATCTCACAATGTTACAATTAAATTTTAATCAGAATTAAATCAAAGATGAGAGAGTGTGTAAACATATCTCAATTAAAACACTTATAGATACTCATATATGACAATCCTTGATTAGCTTTAGTTTTCTTTATAAATTAAAAATTAATCAAATAAACATATTACAATTTAATATATATATTTGTATTGTTTTACATATTTTATAGGTATCTAACTGATGGGCATGCTCTAAAGTACTTGTTTTGATGTTATTCACTAATGTACTACTTGGTGTATATAAAAAATAAATAAATAAAATTATTTGAACTTTTATAGGTATGATAAATTAATTTGTATTAAATACTGTTTGGTATTTAGCGAAAAAAATATATATAAGAATTATATCATTCTTTTTTTAATCTAACAAGCCAATAATATAGCATTACATGGTTCCTGTAATATGGAATCTTTAATTTTAAATATGTATAACTAGAAAGCAAATTGTTATTTATCTAGTATTCTAAAGAGATGCTTTATATATATATGTGAAAACTTCTAATGTCAAAGAATTATAAATAGCAATTGGAAATTTTGAACTGAGTCTTCCTCTCCTCAATTCTTGCTAGTCAGTATTACATGTTCTTGGTGACCAAGTAGTACTATCTAGGTAAAAGACCGAGTGACATTTATTCTTTTGTTTTTCAAACTCAAATTAAAGAGCACATATTTTGTTAGTTTTAACTTTCAAGATCAAATATTGTTAACACAAATAAATGAAAGCGTGATATAAATATGGAGGAACAATCAAGAGAAGGAAGAAAATATTGTACTGTAGGAAACTTCTCAGCAAGTAATGTACTTGGTAGTATTCGTTCAACACTATCAAAGTCATACGTGGTAAAAGGAATAATCCAAAAGATTGGTAGTGCTGAAAATAAAAGAATCCAACAACTCTAGACTCGAATCGAGTGTTTGTTGACCCAAAAAGTTATAGATTAGATATATCTAGCCGTGTTCATAGCTAGCTATAGTTATACGTATCTTCATATGCATTTATTATTTTGTAGTAACATGTGTTGTCCCTTTAGGGTTTTCCAAAGTTTCTGTCGTTTGCGTTTACTTATAAGTATATAGACTTAGATCCAATTGGTTGGAAAATCATCCAAATTTAACTGCAATAATATTTTAAGTTAGGTTCATGTTTAAAGCTAGTTCAAAAAATAAGGTAAGGTTCATGTCCCCCGGTTTAATTCGGTTTGTATAGATGTCCTCTAGCTTTTTTTTTTTTAATCAAAATCCTCCAGCTTCTTATGTTCATGAAAATATTTTGGTCATAAAAGGCTCTTCCATATTATTCAAAAGGCCCAATAATTTATAAAGATAAGCCCATTTGTTTTGGTCGACGAGTCAGTTACAAAGACTTGATAAAAGGCTTGATCGTTACCTGACGTGTAAAAGTTATCCGAACACGTACTCAGCGGGACCCACAGATGTGAAGAACCAAGCTATAAATAGACCCGCAAGCTGTCACAAAGAAAAACCACTACGTACATTTGAAATTCATCTTAGGCAAGTATGGATCCAAATCCAAAACTGGCGAGTTCCGGTGACGACAACGACAAGGCTGTCCTGGAGCATCGCTCTTTCGCTAGAATAGGGTTTCTTGGAAACCCTAGCGATGTTTACTTCGGCCGCACGATATCTTTTACCATCGGTAATTTCTGGGCTTCGGCTAAACTCGAGCCATCCGACCATCTATTCATCAAGCCTCATCCTTTCCATGACCTTGTCCGCTTCGACTCTCTCGATACTCTCGTACGTTACGTTCGGTTTTATTTGTTCCGGTTTAAAATGCTTTTTGACTTGGTTAAGAGCATGTATATCGATGAACCTTCGGTTTGGGTTCACAATTTAATTTTTTATTATCTTTTTTTTTCTGTTTTATTTTATTTAAAAAAAAATACACTGATTAATAGCGGACTGCCATGTGGCGTGGGATAGTAAAACAGTATGAACTCCACCCCTCACAAGTTCACGGGAGAGAATTGGAGAGAAAGACTGAGAGAACTAAAAACTGGACTCTACGATTTTTATAATATTTTATTTTTGGGAGAATGTGTGAACCTCTCTTGAGGTTCACTAATGCACTTGCTCTAAGCATTGTTTAGGTTTTACCTGGTTTGATTTTGTACCGGTTTTATAAAGACCGGGATAACTATTGTTTAATGAATCTAACATGTTATGTTTTGACTTTAAGATCTTTAGTTTCTAACACTTGGTCCTAGATCAATAGTTTCTAACACTTGTGTTTCCTAGGTTTATCGATTGAAAAATGAAGGGTACTACGGAGGTGTGAGGTTGCTAATGGCTATATGTAAAGTGTTCCGTAACTATTGCAAAGATAATGACATACATCTTCATGACAAAAACTTCACTCTATCTTATGATACCAATATCCCTAGACAGGTTTTGTTACACTTTTACTTGTTTTTTGTCCATGGTTAAGTTTTGCTACGTGTATCTGAAGCCTTTTTTTTTAAAAAAATGTTTTTTCAGACGGGGCTTTCGGGTTCTAGTGCAATTGTGTCTGCTGCTCTAAGCTGCCTTCTTGACTTCTACAATGTCAGGCATTTAATAAGGATAGAAGTTAGACCTAACCTTATTCTTAACGCCGAGAAAGAACTTGGTATTGTTGCAGGTCTTCAAGACCGTGTTGCTCAAGTCTATGGTGGTGGTCTTGTTCACATGGTTAGATTGATATCTTTGCAACTATTTTTATATTCCAAAATCTCATCTCTCATGTCTTTATCTTCTTTGCTCTGCAGGATTTTAGCAAAGACCATATGGATAAAGTTGGTTATGGAGTTTACACTATAATGGATATCAATCTTCTCCCTCCTCTGCATCTCATCTATGCTCAGAATCCTAGTGACTCTGGGAAGGTAAGAGAGAAGAGCTGTTTAAGACGGTTACTGCTCCTTATTTTACTATCTTTTTTAACCGTTGCTTATATTTAATGGCAGGTTCATAGCACGGTTCGTAGAAAGTGGTTAGATGGTGATGAGTTTATAATATCATCAATGGCAGAAATTGCAAAATTAGCAGAAGAAGGTCGAACTGCTTTACTAAAAAGAGATTACACCAAGCTCAAAGAACTTATGAACCGTAACTTCGACCTTCGAAGGTAACCGTTGATAAGACACAACACACAGTTCAAAACTAAACAAAACGTAACACAAGTCATCATTTATTTTGTCTGCATGCAGGAGTATGTTTGGAGATGAATGTTTGGGAGGTAAGAACATAGAAATGGTGGAAGTAGCACGTAAGGTCGGTGCAGCTGCGAAGTTCACTGGAAGCGGAGGAGCTGTGGTGGCTTTCTGCCCCGACGGGCCATCTCAGGTCAAACTACTTGAAGAAGAATGTAAGAAAGCTGGATTTATAGTTGAGCCAGTAAAGCTTATCCCTACGCGTCTCAACAATTCTGATCTTAAGAGTTTATCAAATCCCTAATTGTTACATCAGTAAAGCTCTTAAGGCTAAAAAATCACAACTTGGTTCTCTAGGATCCTGAGATCAGTGTCTAAACTTGAGCTTAGTCCATTATCATAAATGTTTCATTTCTATTCATTGTTTTCCTATGTTTTAGACTAATCTATTCTTTACAACTTTCACAATTCATTTATGAATTTTATTTTTAAAAATAATTTAACTGTATGTTTATAATTTTTCTGTGCAACGAGTATATTTAAAGCTAAAAAAATACTCTTCCTGTTTTTTAATAAGTGTCATTTTATATTTAACGTTTTTAATGCAATTTTACACATTAAATTATTTTTTTTCTCTTTAGAATAATCAATAAAACTTTATTTAAATCATTTTTATTTAATTAAAATATATTACATAGGAATATGCTAGTATATTTTTTAAGTTTTTTAATTCATTTGAAATATATTAAAACTCATATTTTTTTGTGAAACGGAGGAGTAGTAAATAAATAAGGAAATTGGTATAATGGATCAACCGAGTAGTAAACCGAATAATTAACCCAACTGAATAGTCAACCCCTAAGTCAAACACTTTAGTGAAGCCCACACAGACCCCGTGCCGTCTCAAACCTTTAAAACAAAACATCCTGCCGTTCTCACTCATCACTCAAACATAATCATCATCTTCGTTTTCGATATACGGCGGAGGTAATCGCCGGAGCTCTCACTAAAATGGCGAAATCTCTACACTTCACAAGACTAATGATATCTTCTTCAGCAAGAATGCCTCCAACTTCTCACTTCCCCTTCTCAATCAAACCTAGCAACATCCATAAACCCTTCTTCTTCTTCTCCTCTTCCTCAACACGCTACCCACTTCAATACGAGATGATCATCAACCGCCCCACACAATCCTCCCTCTCCCACCACCAACGCCGACCTCCTCGCCCCATCGAATCCACTTCCTCTTCTTCCCCCGACCCGGATTTCGATTCCTGGGTCGATAACAAACTCTCCTCGGAGCTCGAAAAGGGCCGACCCGGGTCGTGCCCCCCGGAGATGGACAAGGAGAAGAGGAAGTACTATAGCAAGAGGAGGAAGAGGCTGTACGGGTCCGATTCGGAGGATGAGGAAAGGAGGAGGGAATCAGAGGAAGGGTTTGTGGAGTTGAAGCCTGAGGTTGTGGAGTTTGATAGGTTGCATCAGAGGGAAGAGGAGTTGTTTTTTTACGATGCGTTTGCGTATCCTTGGGAGAAGGATAAGCATTATAAGATGGTTTATCAGTTGGAGAAGAAGTATTTTCCTGATCAGTGTTTGGATAAGGCCTTTTTGCAGCCTGGTGAGGCTTCTCCCTCCCGGAAAGTTAAGGGGAAGAAGAATGTAGCTGATGATGATGAAAAGTTGGTGTTTTTTGATGAAGTGAAGGAGAAGGAGAAGGTGGAGGAGAGTGTTAGTGAGAAGAAAGTTGAACAGTTTTTTAAGGGTTTGACGACGAAGGCTAACAATGAGAGAGGTGTGGCTAGTGGTGGTGGTGGTGGTGATGGAGAGCCTTTTCTTGTGATGAGGAATGGTGAGCTTCCTTCTAGATGGGATGGTCCTAATGGTACTGTTGTTTTGGTGAACAAACCCAAAGGTGTGTAGTCTCTGTCTCTCTCTTTCTTTTGTCTTTTTGAAATGTGTTATGTGGTTTGGTTATGGTGTTGTTTTTTGTAGGATGGACTTCTTTTACCGTGTGTGGTAAGCTACGAAGAATAGTCAAAGTGAAAAAGGTTCTTAGCTTAAACCCTTGTCCAATCCAAGATTTGGAAAATGTAGCTTATTAGTAGTGTTTCTCAGGTTGGTCATGCTGGAACACTTGATCCTATGGCTACTGGTCTCTTAATCGTTTGTGTTGGTAAAGCCACCAAGGTGGTTGACAGGTTTGTGATTTATCAATCCAGAAATGTTTCTCTCTATGATGGGATCTACAGAAAGAAAAGCTACAAAAGCCCTTTTGTATGTGCAGATACCAAGGGATGATCAAAGGTTATAGTGGAGTTTTTCGTCTTGGTGAAGCCACTTCAACTTTAGACGCTGACTCTCCTGTAAACTTCAACGACACCTTTCTTTGCTTTCGTGATTCATTTCTTCATTAGAGTTTGCTCAAGGGTGATATTGCTGCAGGTGATTCAACGAGAGTCTTGGGAGCATATTAAAGACGATGACATTAAGAAAGCTTTGACATCCTTTCTTGGTGAGATATGGCAAGTTCCTCCAATGTTCTCAGCTATAAAAGTGAGCATTTGCTAAATCTTTTAAAGTTTAAAACCGTGCCTTATCGTGGATTACATTGTTAACTAGCTTTTTAAACTGTTTTTTTTTCTGTTTAGGTTGGAGGTGAGAAAATGTATGACAAGGCAAGAAGAGGAGAAACCGTGGAGCTTTCTCCCAGACGTATCTCGATTTTCCAGTTTGACGTTGAACGCAGTTTAGATGACAGGTTCAATTCATTTTTTGTACAGTGCATAAGCAATTTGAAAGCAATATTAATGTTTAGGTCTCACTAAAGATCTTTTGTCTCTCTTTGTGCAGACAAAATCTGATCTTCCGAGTTGTATGCTCCAAGGGTACATACATTAGATCTCTCTGTGCAGATCTTGCTAAAGCTCTTGGAAGGTTCAGAAAAGTTTCACCTTTGATAACTAAGATCCAAAACGTTAAACTACTTCTAAATAATATTCTTTTTTTTGTTGCAGTTGTGCTCACCTCACTGCTCTCCGGCGAGATTCAATCGGTACGTTCTTTTATCAATTTGTTTTTTTATATAGCTTGATTCACTCTAACCGTTTTCTTCTCTTGGGTTCAGGTGAATACTCTGCTAACGATGCTTGGGAGTTCAATGAGTTAGAAGCAGCAATTACAAAGAACTACTTCTAGAAAAAAACGACATCTGCTTTGGTAGACGTTTCCATAAATGAGTAGAAGATCCATCAATGGTGGATTCTTGGTCACAAACAAAGGTTACAGATGCTTACATAGATCATTGTTTGTTCTTTTAAACGCTTACATTATTTCCAAACAGTCTATTAAAGACCAAAAAATTTATTTTGGTTCAAAATACATTTCCTTTGATTACTAAATCTCACTGTCTATAACAAGCTCGAGTTATTGGAACTGGGGGGTCTGTGAGCAATCCACCAAGAGTACGGTCAGCCACATGTTTGTTTGCAGCTTCAGTATAGTGAACTCCATCCCAGCTCACAGCCGTTGCCAGGTTCGAGCATGGGGCACCGTATATTTCGGTATTGTTCACTTTCCCTTTAGTTCCACACCAGATGTGATCATACTTCTCATGGTAGCCACAACATACCTTCAATGGATTTGAAAATCCTGCAAAAAAAACACAAGAACAACTTTCTAGAAAATATGTAGATCGCAAGAAAATGGAATTTGCGTTGAGAAGGGTTCTTGTAACCTAGTTTCTTAGGATTGCTCATCATTTCGTATTTGGCAGAGTAGACATCAACATAAGTGATGGCTGCTTTGGTGAGTTCCTTTCTTAGGTTAATAACTGTTTCCTTGAGCTTTCTGTTGAACTCCATGGCCATTTCGTTTTGTACCTTCACGCAGCCGGATTTGTCCAAGTAGCCAGGCGCAGGAGTGCCCATGTAGAACATGTTTACTGGTAGACAACCGAAAGGGCCTGTGTTGTGTATCCAAAACGTTCTTCCTCCTTGCTGATATATGTTCTGTGAACAATCATAGAGCGTTATTCAGAAGAAGATTAAAGGCAGTGAGAAAAACATTGCATACTCTTTCAGAATCTAACCCGAACAGCAGAGGCTAAGTGGCTGACAATGTCTGGTATTGTAGCCTTGAGTTGATCAACGCTCATTGTCCTAAACCCAACAGAGAGATCATTCTGCCCAATGTCAAAAGTATACAAAGCCTTTGCAAACTCTTCCTGTCTTGGAAGCTTCTCTCTTTCAGATCTAATCTTAGCTGAGAAACAACAGACGTCACAAGTCATAATCATCATATGACAAAGAGAACTGAAATTATTAAAATAAAAAGGAACTGACTTTGTGTGAACAGCTCTGCAGATCTTGCTTTGAACTGATCAAACTGAGTAATCTGCATATCGAGAGAGAATGGGCTGATTCCATATTGAAAGATAGTCTCGTTCTGTCTTCTTATGGTTGATCCACCAGTTGCAAAGTTAGCCCCATGTCTGAAGTTTGATCCTAGTGCGTTCAGGTATGCGCTCAAGTACGGTAATCCCACACGTTCAGCTACAAACCAATAATCATAAATCAATAGTCAAATCAAAAGTTTGGAAGCTCTGTTTTTATACTGTAAACTTTGGTTACCTATGAAATCAATGGTGAGACGACCATCGGAGTCTCGTCCAGCAGGTTTGTGGAAGAAACCTTGACCGTAAGGAGCTCTAATTGGTTCGAAAGCAGCGGAGATTCCTCCAGTGTCGGAGTTTGAATCACCGAAGTTGTAAATCGCCGGAAAAGTACACGTACGCTGAACTGGAACAGCTGTTGTCACTGTAAGGAGACAGAGAAGAAGATATGTAGACACAGCAGAAGATAACATAAGCCGTGCCCTTTCAAGATCGCTCTTCATTGTGGTAGAGAGAAAGAGTTTGATCACACTCTGCCTCTTTCTTCAGTGTCTTTATTAATAAAGGCTTTGGTTTTTTTATTTGTCCGAAAATGAGTTCGATACAACAAAAAGAAAGGATTTTGTTTTTGTTATGAAAAAGTACAGAAGTAGAAATAAAAAGAAGAAAAAGGATAAAACGTGTCTTGAGAGTTGGACCGGACCACAGTTCAACACTCATGAGCTGTGCTGTAGTTGGAAGCCAGAAAAGGCGAGCTAACGGTTATCATTGTCGGTACCTTTCAGTTTACCCTCGTCAGCACCATAAAAATTACACGAGTAGATTAGATCATTCAGAAAAATCACCAAAATTATTTTAAAACATAAAATAGCACATGTTTCTAGATCTGTCCCGGTAAATCAGCTGCCGGTTAAGAGAAGGGTAGTGTGAACATTGTCAGTGTCTGTGAGCAAGAGTAGTAGATTCCCGCGAGAGATCAGATAAAAGGACTACGAGTGTTAAATAAAAAGACGCGGTTAAAATTTAATGGGCCTGTATTGGGCTTTATATAACTTTCTTTTTCTATTCTTTTCTTCCCTTTTAGGTGGCTGTTTGAGCCCATAATATATATCGGCCCAAGACTAACTTTTAGAGTCGCCATTTATCGGACCAGGTCACTCTATTCAAATTTACGTAGGTTCTTCTTTTGAATATTTAATTTTATCCTCTGATTATTTAGATTAATAGTGCATTTCACGTACATCTTGCTTGCTTCGTGAAAGAACGGTCCAACGACGACAGAAAAAAGTGTTGCACAATTCACGGGGGTAACGAAGCTTCATGAATTGAAATCAGTCCATTTAATTTTCACGTGTCGTGTCTGCTCTTCAAAGGAAACAATAAGTGATCTATTGAAACTAAGACAATTTAATTTGAGAGTTAGTATTAACATTTTCATAATCGTACGACCAAAACAAAAAGAAGAAATGAGAATAACTCAAAAGTCAAGACCTATATCAAATCAAACCCAACAAAAAAAAAGAATAAAGCAATAAACAACAGCGACACGAAAGAACAAATATTAAGATAGATAGAATTTGTCACGTGGAGGGAAACTTCTTATAACCATCCATTTTCCCCAAAGAGATTTATCGCAGTTAGTATTATTATTAACTTTTAATTTCCCACATCATAGTACAAACCAAAGCAGTGTTCTTAAAATGTTATTCTTATTGTGATTAACAATTCTGATGTTTGCAATATTTAGATCTTAATTACCTATAATCAAAATAATATTATATTATACTTGTCACTCAAAAACATTAATTTAAGACTTGAAAGTAGTCGAAGAAATTGTCTATTTATTATTTGGTCTTAGGCTTGTTTTGAGACTTTGTATAAGTGGGAAGAGTAAATAATATCAATAAAAGTGATAGTTATAAACTAACCCCCATTAGCGTGTCTATTATAAAGAAAAAAGAGAGAATATTATTCTCCTAATGATTTGATAGAAACAAAACCAAGCCGTGTTCTTAACACGATGAATAGTTTTTTTTTTTTTATCTCAACTTAAAAACATAATTTGAAAATTTTTTTTAAATTATGCAAGTATGGCCTATTTGTAATTCAAGAATATAAAGTAGTCGAAGAAATTGTCAATTAATATTTGTTTTCTAGGCTTGTTTAGACTTTTTGTATAAATAATAGGGGGACCAATCACCAATGGTTGGAAGAGTGAATAATTAGTGATATTTTTTTGATCAAATGTGAATAATTAGTTATTAATTAGATATTTACCGCCATTATCGTGTTTATCTTAAAGAGAAAAAAAAAGAATATTATTCTCACAAATGATTTGATAGAGAAACAAAACCGAAAAACAAAGAAAGCGAAACTGCTTTCGAAGAAAAGGCAGAACTCTACCGGATTCGATTCACCAGTCACTCTACTCTCTGATTCGTCGTCATTCATGTTGCTTCTTCTTCCTCCTCAATTCTAAAGGTAAACACTTTATCTATATCCTCTCTATCACCACTCTTCCTCCACCAAATGTCGCAAGATTCACTCACCCTCGAATCTATGTTTTTTGATTTTGATTAATCCATGATGTTTCGTGGAAATAAACTAATTGGAAGAAAGTTTTGTCAGAAAAAGTAGAATTTTTATTTTTATTACCAATTCTGCGGGGTTAGAGTATAGCAGCAAGTTTCGTTAAATTAGACTAGACTTTATCTTAATCTAGAAAGTCATCGTTTTTATTCGTTTGCTTAGTCTTATGAGGGAAGACGTGATTGAATTTGAATCTCTTTTCTCTCTATAAGAAGAAGACCACTAACCTACCTTCATTTTCATAAGCGTTGAGATAATAATTCCACACCTGTCTCATTATCAAAGCTTTCACCTTTTTTACACGAGTTAGGTAACTTAGGTTCCTGCATCCATCATTCTACGGAGTTATACGTCATAATCTTCACCAAGTTTCTGCATTTCCTTCTGGGTTTTCATCAATATACACTAAATGTCAAATCTTTATTGTTTTGTAGGTTACTGTATTGATACCTGAGAGAGTTTGAATAGTTTTTAAATGGGGACAGGGAATTCAAAGGAAAATTGGAGACAAGATTCTTCATCATCGTCTAGGTCAGCTTCAGCTTCATCAGCATCTTCATCTTCATGGGCTTCTCATCAAAGCTATCCTCAGTATGGTCCTGAAAGTTATACCTATCCTCCTCCACCTTCATATGCTCCTCAACCTCCTGAGTATACACAACGTCCTACTACACCTTCTTATAGTACTCAGCCTTATTCTCAGCCTCCTCCTCCTTCTCAAAGTTATGGCAGTGATAAGAAGAGGTTGGAGCGGAAGTACTCTAAAATCTCTGATGATTACTCCTCTTTGGAGCAGGTGAGCTAGTTTGTTTCTTGATGAGCACAAAGCAGTTTAGATTCTTATAGCTTCACATTATTGTTGTTCTGTTTCTTTTAGGTGACGGAGGCTCTTGCGCGTGCAGGTCTAGAATCTTCAAATCTCATTGTTGGTATTGATTTCACCAAGAGCAATGAATGGACAGGAGCCAGGTCCTTCAATAGGAAAAGCCTACACTTCATAGGCAGTAATCCTAATCCTTATGAACAAGCCATAACTATCATAGGGAGAACCTTAGCCGCCTTTGATGAGGACAACTTGATTCCATGTTATGGCTTTGGAGATGCATCAACACATGATCAAGATGTGTTTAGTTTCAATCCTGAGGATAGGTTCTGTAATGGATTTGAGGAAGTACTTGGTCGTTATAAAGAGATCGTCCCTCAGCTTAAGCTAGCAGGTCCCACCTCATTTGCTCCGATCATTGATATGGCTATGACCATTGTTGAGCAGAGTGGTGGCCAATATCACGTCTTAGTGATAATAGCAGATGGGCAGGTGAGGGCAATACTATAGTATGATCCTTTGTTTATGTGTCGAGCAAGAGAAGAAGCTTTACTTGACTGACTATTTCAGGTTACAAGAAGTGTTGACACTGAAAATGGACAACTAAGTCCGCAAGAACAGAAGACTGTGGATGCTATCGTGCAAGCAAGGTTGGAACATTGTCTGATTTACACATTTTTTTACTCTTGAAGTTAATCTGATGATTTGATTTCGTTGTCTATGGCAGTAAGCTTCCTCTATCAATAGTCTTAGTTGGGGTTGGGGATGGACCATGGGACATGATGAGAGAGTTTGACGATAACATTCCCTCCCGAGCTTTTGATAACTTCCAAGTATGTTATTTTAGAGCTAAAAAGATTAAAGATTAAAGTTATTTTCGATCTTTTTGATATGATTTTTTCTGTTTCTAGTTTGTGAACTTCACAGAGATCATGTCAAAGAACAAAGCTCAGTCCTTTAAAGAAACAGAGTTTGCTCTTTCTGCTCTCATGGAGATTCCTCAACAATACAAGGCCACATTAGAGCTTAACCTTTTAGGGTAAATCCCTAAACCATAATCTTTTATGGCTTCAAGGTTTACTCACACAGTTTTCTTGCAGAAGAAGAAATGGGTATATACCGGAACGATTCCCTCTTCCACCTCCAATGCAGGGTGGATACAGCAAGCCAAAGGCTACTCGTGTTCCAAGTTTCAAACCGAGTGTACCTCCTTATCCAACTGAAAGCTATCCAGTAAGGTCTAGTCCTGCACCACCAGCTACAACCTTTGCTTCTGATAACCAGGTATACTTTCAAAATATGAAAGATATTTAAAAAGCTGTTTGAAATGTTTAGTAAAACGTTTGAAACTTCATGTTATTGGTTCTATTCTATGTGACAGCTATGTCCGATTTGTCTGAGCAGCCCTAAAGACATGGCTTTTGGTTGTGGTCATCAGGTAAATCCCACAACACACATTATTAATCTTCTTCTTCTTCTACTAGGAGATCGAATCATGGAACTGAACTTTGTTTTATGTTTTTGATACAAGACTTGTTGCGAGTGTGGACCGGATCTTCAAATTTGTCCGATATGCCGTGCACCAATCCATACAAGAATTAAGCTCTACTAGCAAGTAGACCAAGATCCACAACCCTTGTCTCTTGTCCGTCTTTCTTGCAGTTTCTTTTTGGGGATTTAGTTTGATATCTAATCACTGAGCTTCCTCCTCCGAGAAAGATGGGAATCTTCTTTATGTAAAAAGAAAAGTTACGTGTTAAGTTTGTTCGTTGGTTCACTTTCCTAACTTGATCATGTTCCACAATATTTGAATTCTTTCATTCTTCTTTGCTTTGGAGTAAATGTTGTTGTCAATGTGTGATACTAAGTCCACCATCTCTTTTGTTTTTCTGCTCTTTTGATGATTCTTGTTTCTGATAAATTTGATTCTTGAAATTTGTTGTAGTGACAATTTACACTACTCACCAACCTTTTATTTCATACTAGTGGTGTACCGGCGCTACGCGCCGGATTCATATATTATTATAAAATAAGTTGTGATTTATTTTGTGGCCTTGGTGAAGAGATTATGTTCAGAAATTTGATGTTGTAACTATGTTGAAGACAATGATCTTTTCTGATTATTAGTGGAGTAGCATAAGTGGTTGTTATTAATCGAAACAAATAAATGTAGAGTAAAAATTTGATAGACTTTACAAAGTTAATTTAGTAAATACTTAAACATAAAGTAAAATTCATGTTTGTAAATGAAAAATGTAAATAGCTGTGTTTGTTTTGTGATTATGTTGTTTCAAGGAAGATAATATATAGTTTCGTCCTCTTAAAATAGTAACAATCCTAGACTGATCGTTTATATCTTATACACAAAATAGTAACAATCTTAGACTGATCGTTTATATCTTAAACGCTACCATTCTCCTGACCGTTAAAATCAAGTCCCGTGAGCATATATAGATAATCAGAGATACAAAAGGCAAACTTAAACGACAATGCTTCAAACATAGCTTCCATATGCTCAATGTCCTCTGCCATTGGTCCACCGTCAGGTGCGGTGTTTCAGAGAACGTTCTTGTCCCGAACATAAGTTTTTTGATAGCATTGCCACAGTAGTGTATCAAAGAAATTTGATCGGATATCCAAAGTACTTGAACCTCTTAATCTTATTCCAGCAGCGATCGGATTTTGATAGTGTGTGTTCCTAGTCAAGGATATCAAAGAAATATTTTCCTTCTTTGAGGTTTCCTCTGCACAACATTACTAAACCCCAAAGATACATACCCTTATCGTATTTTCCATAAGAAGATTGACACATGTGAGGTGATTGAGTGCTTTGATTGATTTGTGGTGGAAGAAGTACTGATTTATTCCCTCACTATTAAGATGAGCTTCAGCTGATAGGTGTCCGAGATGGGGGGGAGGGGGGCCTGGTGTGCGTGGTAGATATTTATCTTGTAGCCAAGGCTCCCGTGGTTCAGATACTGGAGGTACAAAGATTAAAGAGTAGGAATAAGTACATAAATTTTTTTACAAAAGAGTAAGTTGTCAAAGTCATAAAGAATTAGTTTACGTCTCCTTTGGACCAAATTTTTTTTCTTTTTATGACTTCTTTTGGTTACATATGATGATGATGCGGTGGAGTGTTCAGAAACACTAAGATTTTTGGNTACTGGAGGTACAAAGATTAAAGAGTAGGAATAAGTACATAAATTTTTTTACAAAAGAGTAAGTTGTCAAAGTCATAAAGAATTAGTTTACGTCTCCTTTGGACCAAATTTTTTTTCTTTTTATGACTTCTTTTGGTTACATATGATGATGATGCGGTGGAGTGTTCAGAAACACTAAGATTTTTGGGAGATCTCCCGTGGTTGCTTTGCCATTAAATTCAACTGGCGTCTTCACCATTATTTCTGAAAATCGTAATGGTTGAGTAATTAGGAATCAGAGGTTGCATCAGAACTGTGTAGTGAAAGAATGTAGGAGATACGTAACTACTGGCTTTTGCAATTACACTGCATTTACAGTGTGAGCTAATCATTCAGTTGGGAGGCGTGTAGGCACCCTGCAACGATAAACTTTAATTTGTAAGGTTATAGCTTCTTAAATCCAATTTTTTTTTTTGTTAATTTTTAGCAGTTTGTTATTTATAAACTTGTCTTCTAAGCGTATAGGATGTGTCAATATAGGTTATACAAGCTCTGAAATGTGTCTAATTTTTTATGAGATGTGCAAGTGTTCATAATTTTCTGTAATGGTAACTTCTTAATTTTATTATTTTGTGTTAATTAATTATTATCAGTTTGTTACTTATAAATTTCTCATCTAAAACCTTCTATATGTGGCAATCATTTTTTTGAACAGATTCTTATATATGTGGCAATCATAAACGAAAGTGATATAAGCTCCGACATTTGTTTAAACAAAGTGATATAAGCTCTGCTCTTTGTTTATTTTTTAGAAGTTGTGCAAGTGTTCATTAGCTCTGTAGTTTGTGTAATCTTATATGAGTTATGAAAGTGTTCATAATTTTCTATGATGGTATCTTCATAATTCTATTAATTTGTGTTAATTATTATCATTTGTTACTTTAAATTGTGTACACTAAAACGTCGAAGATGTTGCAATATATGTAATACAANTTATTTTTTAGAAGTTGTGCAAGTGTTCATTAGCTCTGTAGTTTGTGTAATCTTATATGAGTTATGAAAGTGTTCATAATTTTCTATGATGGTATCTTCATAATTCTATTAATTTGTGTTAATTATTATCATTTGTTACTTTAAATTGTGTACACTAAAACGTCGAAGATGTTGCAATATATGTAATACAAACTATGTACCTTGTTTAGTTATAAGTTGTGCAAGTGTTAATTATTTTATATGAAATATAAGGATGCATGAGAACAAAATTTACAAAAAAGTAAAAAAAAAAACTTTACAAAAAGATGACCGTCGGTTTGATCTCTGAAACCTAAGGTAAGAAGACAACTTAACGGACTGAAAATGTGCATAAATCTTAAAAAAATTCTGCAAGTTGGGTAATACATAAATCATTCTATAACTGGCCATTATATTTTGAAGAGCCCAAATCCATTTTGTCAAAGACTCAAAAAATCAGAATTTGACAAACCGAGATGAGAATTAATTTTGTCCGGTTTGATTTCAATTAATAAATGCTGACATGGCTTTTTTTGCCCCCCTCACAAATGCTGATGTGGATGCATGAGAAGGGAGAAAACTCAACTTTATTGTATAAGATAATGAGCCTCCGTGTTAGCTATATATAGTGAATGAATCACATGCTGTCTTAAAAATGGTAGGACTATTAATCAATTCAGAGCAACTAAATATTAACCTTGTACTCTTGGTTTGTTTGCATGACAAATAAAAATGTGCAAGTTCCATGTTAATCCATTATCCATCTTAAACTACATAAGTTATATGTGTTTTGATGTAACTGAGTTTTACACAGAATTACATATTATTGTCATTAGATTATAAAAGTAGATCTGCGTAAATCATGTGATATATTCTCATACATTATCCCTACTTTGAATAACATAAGAACAATACAATAAAAATCATTTATTGCAGGGATATATATAAATCTTTGCAAAACTAGATTTGAGGTATCGCATTGAATTATCATGTACACACACCTAACTACTTCGAATAAATCGACCCACCAACCATACACATTGAAACATCAACAATAATGACAACTCATACAGTTAATGTATGATATACAACATCTCTCAAGGAACTCTATGAAAGTATTCAATATCACCATTTGGATCTAATTTTCATGGCTTCTTCTCTCAAAATCACTAAACTCCCATACAAGAGGCTTTCTCTAGAAGATGATGTCCTCGACGAAACAACAACAAGATCTTCCTCATCATATCCTTACAGGTTCAGATCGAAATGTTTATAAACTGAGGAGTATTAATGGTTTAATTATTCATAATATTAGTAATGAACATGTTCACAATCATTATCATCATCACAACTCGCTTTCTTGGATATAGGTTCAAGAGATTGTTGTCACTGAGAGGAAGGAGGAGGAGGATTAGGGTTAGAGTGAAGATCCGGAGACTTAGGGGATATGTGAGGAAGAAAGCGAGCAAGGTTAAACTTGGAGTTTTGAAAATATTGAAGAGGTTGAAGGAGAGTCAATCACACTTTGGTGATCTCTTTGCTGGTAATTACCTTTTCATGCAAGTTAATCCTTCTTCTCTTAACACTAAGTATGTCTTCGACAAGTCTTTTCAAGTTCAAAATGGTATCTTACCCTCTAAACCATCTCTTCCTAGAGTTCTTATGTAAAGAAGATGTATGAAAGAAGAAAAAAAACATTAATTATATATCCATTTCGAGTTAAGAGTATGGTTATGCTATGAGTCATGACTTATGATTCTTCTACTTTTCTGAATACATTTTGTTATGTGTCTGGTTTGTAACTATTTCAACGATAATGTTAAAAAATTACTTATAACCTAGTGGAAAGTAGTTGAAATCCATACATGTTTTAAACTCTTCTATTGTAGTATTTAATTATTTATACAATCAATTATTTGTCTGGCAAATTATTCACTTTATGTCAAAATCCCAAGGCGGCAACACGAAGGTAATCAATATACAGAACTCTGTGACTAGAGACAGTACTTGGAAATGCGGAAACAATAACATAAAATAATAACCTCACACTGACTTTTTTGAACACAAAAAAAGAATTTTTTTTATTGTCTGTAAATTATGTAATAAAGTTTCATTTAAGATGGATTCCTTATTAAAACAGTTATAGTATAATGTTCATGGATTTAACTTGTTGGGTCGATCTCCAAAAGCATGCCTCTCTTAAACTCCACGTAAGGATGCGCTATTGGCATTTCATCTGACTTTGTTTTCCACCTACCAATACCAAATTTTCATCAAGGCTATATATAAGTAGAGATGTCAAACATCAACTCTAACTAAACTACACGATAAAAATGCAAGTTTCCTACACATATTTATCAATCAGTGAAGTAGTCGAGCCGTGGAGAAGACAATTTTAAAAAGATAATCAAAAGCTGATGATATTTTCGAAATTTAAGTGGTAACACATTTTTCTAAACATGACAAAAATTATGTCTGATAACGCAATTAATTAGTCAAAATAAAGAAACTGATTTAGATTGATACTTACCTATAAGAGAGCACAAGATGATGAATAAAGAAAGCAATTTGGAGTTTTCCAAGTTCACCACCAGGACATACCCTTACTCCTCCTCCAAACGCTGTCGTTTTCTTGTTCATCTTTCCCTTATCCTATTTATATAATTTTCAACAACAAAACTAGTTTCTTATCATCATTTTTTTCCCATATGAATCTATCCATTTTCAAATAGTTTACTTACGTTCCATCTCATGGGATTGAATTCAAAAGGATTTTCATGGAGAGATGAATTAAGATGTACTGCTGTGAAAATAGGAAACACCTTCCATCCCTTTGGAATCACATATTCTGCAAATTAAGCATATTAGATTAACATTAGTTTCACTGAATATTTGCTTTTAAATAGTGAAACTGTGTTGTCAAAAAAGAAAAGTAAAACTGTAAAAGTATTAAATATGATGATCGTACCTTTGAATTTAATATCGTGGGTAGCTTTTCTATGTACCGTTTTGACAATATTTCCACACCGCAGTGCTTCAGACATCACCTGTAAAGTAGTATAGATTTTTTGTTTTGTTTTGTTAGGTTGTTACCATTTTTTTTTTGAAAAAGCAAATAAAAGATGGAACCATACGCATTGAGTGAATTCCATCTTCTGGTAATCTTCCCAATTCAAGAGTTCTCCATCTCCTTTCTTGGCTCTAATGGCTTCATGTTCTTCCTATAGATTTTCACAAGGATATAATATACATGTAGATTATATATATAAGGAGAAGAGAGATAAGAATTAAACCTTGAGTTTTTGAAGAAGATTTGGAGACTTTGCAAGAAAATAAACAACCAAGGAAAGAAGAGTTGCACTTGTTTCAAAGCCCCCAAGTAAAATGTCTAGTACAATGCTAACTTTCTCTTCATAGTTTAGATCTTCATTTGACATGATCACATCTAGAAAATCTTCATCTCTTGAAGCTTTATTCATCTCTTCTTCTTTATTTTCTCTGAATTTTATCATCTCCATAACACGCGCGGACAATCTCTTCCTTGCCTAGCAAACATTAAAAATGATTTAAATCTTTATATTATATATCTTAGCTTTTAGATATAGAGTCCTCTGAGTCTGACGCAAGTATGTATTCTAGATTTTATCCAAAAAATGGATATAGCAAAAGTACAAAACCCTAGAAAGTGCACATACATGTTTTTGTTTTTGCTTGAACTTTGCAGTGCATACATGTTGTAATAATGCTTATAAAATGTGGTAGATTTAAATATCCTTTTTAAAAAACGCTACAGAGGAACTAAAAAATCGTACTGTCCAAAATTAAATTTCAATTAGTAGCACAGCTTTTTTTTTTACTGTGATCTAACCTTAATTGCGTTTGTATAAGCCGTTCCTGGAAGTGGTATTGGTAACGATATAAACCCTTTCATGTAAGATAAAAAGTCTTGCAATACATAACGTCTTGCTGGGTCTTCTGCTTTGATGCTCATGAGTTGGTTAACCATAACACTAAGAGTAAACTGGTTCAACAACAATAAAGATATTACAGTTAGAGAAGATCGACTAAATAAATTTTGTAAGGAATATAATAATTAGTTAATTACCATTTTAACTTCTTTATGGAATTCGATTTCTTGGCAATTTTTCCAAGACTCTAGCATCGAGATAGAGAGGTTCTCTGCGCAGAGAAGAAACTCAGGTTTCGACTTTGTAAGATTGATGAAGCTAATAATAACATTTTTTAGTTTCCTGTGAACTTCTCCGGTGACTAATAAGAGGGAATATTCGCCAAGGATGTCATGCATCGCTTTTGGATAATCTGATGTAAATAACTTCCCTTCGTTTTGGAGTATGAATATGTTGAGTTCTTGGTCACATGAGACTATGGCTTTACCACCACATATATTTGACTTGAATACTTTTCCATACCTGAAATCACATTCAAAATTTGAAACTTATCTCCATTTAGGTAAAGAAAATGAATAGAAGCAATATATATTTTACAAAATTGAAAAGAAAAACATTAATTTATAGTTTTCTCTTGGATCATAGTTTTCTTTAGATAATGGCAAATAATATATTTTACTGGGTTTAGATATACCAACAACTACAAAAACAAAACAGACGAAAACAAGAATGTCATATGTATGTATATATGAAAAAGAATGTCATATATACAAAATTCAGATATATTTTCGTATTACTATGAAGTTTTAAAATAAAAGGTTTACAGCTTTCTTCGATATGTATCGTTATATATGTGTTAAAAAATATATTTATATATGTTTTACGGGAAAAATTATGTAAACAATATGATCGAGTATTACACCGAAAAAATAAGTCGAGTAAAGAAGTCATTATTACCGTGAAACATGTTGTTGCAAGAATGGGCCGATGGAGTCTGATCTATGAGGTTTGAAGAAAGAAATGGTTTCTCCTATAAACGGCCATCCCATGCTACCACTTAGAGATGAGTTATGATCTGTTGCTTCATTTTCCTTAGATAATGATTTGTGAAGAATCAAAATAAAGAGAAAGACAAATCCACACAACAAAAAGATGAAGAAGACTAGCATTGTCTTACTGATCAACTTTTGATAATTGTGTCTCTGTTATAACTTTATATTTTGGTCTTCATTCCTCTATATATACACACACACAAGGAAAGAATATATACTGTCATGTATATAGTGCATATTCAATAAACTAAAATTAGAAGATTAATTAAACTTTCCGTTTCTTAGTTTTAAAAAAATTGTATTGAATCTATTGATCTTTTTTCAACTTTTGTTGTTGATGAAGTTACTATTTTGTTGTGTTGACCAAAAAAGTATACTTAAGACCGTCAGATTTCTCCGACTACACAATCGTAATCAAATAAGTATCAATGAAAATATAACGATTCTCCATCAAATGATATGTCATTGATATTTAGTATTTGAGATATGTAATATATTCTAGTAGAAGATCAGATGATTGTAATATATAATATTTTTAACAACATAGCTAGACTATTTCAAATTTACTATTTTAATTCTTACAAGATAACTAATAAAATCTTTCTTATTAAAACAAAATCATCAGTTAAAACTAACTTTAAATTGTCGAGAAAACTAAATTTAAATTCATTTGGTATATAAAAAGTGCTTCTTTTAAATATATTTCAAAAGTTGTAGTCAAACATAAAACATAAAATTAACTTTAAATATTTTATTTGTCTTACTCACTAAGTTTTTTTTTATTATTAACAAAAATGTTATTTTTTTCCTTTTTCAATTTGTTTCAATCGTACATTCATATCTTCATCACTTATTTACCAAATTGTCATCGTCATAAATATATCAACCACAATTAACAAACAAATCAAAGTCGAGATGCATTTGAAAATCTACACCTATATCTTTTTTTTTTTTTGATTTGTTTGTTAATTGTGGTTGATATAAATCATTTTTCTCTCATTTCCCTCCAAAATCCAATTTTTATTTCCAAATTTTTAAATTTTTTGGAGTTATTCAAATTCATAATCCTTTGTCAAAAACTAATAGGTCTCACCGGATCTAAGAATAATATTTAGATCTTTGAATTATTTCTGGCAAATCTCTTTGAATTTAAAATTAGCTTATGATTCTGCTTGACCAAAAGAAAGTGGCATTTTTTTAATTTACCACATGAATTTGATGTTGGTTTTAAACGATGATTCTGCTTTAATAAAGATTAATCAACTATACTGTAATAATTAAAATATTAAATTTGAAATAGTCTAGATAGATTATTAAAACTAACTTTTAAAGTCATGTGGTATATTAAAAATATGCCACTAAATTTTGTTCTTTATCTAGACATTTTATGAAGGGTACAAAATACTTTTACATTTGACTTCATAAGTGATATATATCTATCTAATTATTATTAACCTCCGTGCATACCATTAAGAGAAACCAAATCTGTTTATTCCTTACAACTATACCGAATTGGTTCAACTAATCATTACATATTAGTTTATTAAGTTCTTTTCAGGATTTCACTATATAACATGAACCGGAAGTGCATTAAGATCTTGATAAGTATAAAAAACCTTAATTTAATTAAAATTCTTTCTTTGTTGTCCAGTTCCCTCGGAAGATGGATCTACAAGAATTCACTTATCCTAATAACAAAAAAAAAAAAAAAGATTTGATGAGAACACCTAATCAGGATAATCCCAATACATACTCAATAAAAGTGCATTACTCAATCTTTCTATTAATATTACAAAAACTAATACAGACCTTTGAAATCGTGATTTTGATTGATGTGATTGTAATTGATAACCAGTGCTATAATGAGTTGGTTTAGCCAGCT